CCCCCCCCCCCCCCCCGCAGCCGCTCCAAATAAAATCAGTCGAAACTTTACATGAGTTGGGTTCGGCTCATGTGACGTATGGCGTTTGACCCGGGCCTAAGGAGTCTCCTTTTGTGGAAGTTCAACTTTTTTGTCGTTTAGTTTGAAAAACATCACGCTAAACACAACGCTTGTTAATTCTCTACAGACCTGTGTTTTTCTATCGTGGCAATGAGATGATGGCAATCAGATACGGCTTGTACAAGGCTCATTACTGGACCTGGACTAATAGCTGGCAAGAGTTTCATGTGAGCTCTACACTTACGTGCCTTATTTCCACTAGCAGGGGCGGATCTAGGATAAACGGTGACCGATTTCCGAAACATTACGTGCCGCAGGCGCAAGCTTCCAGAGGGGTCGGCCAGGCCATGTGTGGGATTTTCACTCTCTAAAGTGTCCTTTCCTGGATTTCTTGGTCATTCTGAAAACTCTGACCAATTTCCGTAAAATGTTGGGAGACCAGTATAGATCCGCGTGTCACTAGTCAAGGTCCCTCAATAAGCACCCCTCCACCACCCATTACCTACACGTAAGAGTTTTAAAGATTAAAATTAAACGACTCCCACCCCTTCCTCCGAGAAAAGATTGTTCAGATAGACGTTAACAGAAGTAGCATTACACTAGAACTAAAGAGAATCGGACAAGGCCAGTGTGCAAAGAAAGTCCTGTCCAATAGCCCAGGGCTAGTGAATTGTGCGGTTGGGTCGGTGCGGTTTCTGTCTTTTGCTTGTCTGAAGGGTAATTAAAGTTTTCTTCGGGACAATTTTTGTGCAAATTCAAATTTCAGAAGTACTGTACATAGACTACATAAGACATGGAATGATGGTAATGATTAATTAATCATCCTAGTGAGAAATTCATTGGGGTAGCGAGAACGACGTTTGGGCTAGCACATCACAGTTTTCATCTTGTAAGAGAACTTGCTTTCTTTGCGCCCGGTTTGTCATGAGGATTGACTAGGGAAAGCGGGAATCATATGAGTGAAGTGCCACCAGTGTTTCATCAAGGCGAAAGATCCAACGCCATTCTTCTATATGCACTTGCAGACAATGCCATGTAATGATATTCTGGGTGGTTGTATCTTTCAGCATGGAGTGGACTTCTGTCGCGGTGAAAACGTTACAGGTGTTACGACTCATGAACAGATGAACTATACCGCCTCTCCTGTTCTGTTTCACTTAGGACGAGACCCGGGTGAGAAATATCCCATCAGGTTTGTCCGCTGAACTGTTTGTGGTCAGTGAGAACTGTTAATATCCAAGCGCTAGATGCTACTTAGGGCTTCACATAGACTCGACTGTTGCCTTGTTAATTAGTAACTGGACCGAGTGGAGTACAATTCAGGTAGTAAACGGGCGAGTTATTTCTAAATCGGACGATTACGAGCAGGGTTCACCATCTAAACTACGATCGCGATTACGCCCCTTTCTTCTCCCCTACATTATATCTTCATTTGTAGCGTTCTTTCCCCGTTAGGTACCCGACACTAACAAGGCGTGGATTGAAGCGGTGTGTCACGCGTGTTCTCGTTGTCGCGCACCCCTCGAACTCGTTCCTTATTACTCAAGTGTCCGCTGCGCAGACTATCCCCCTAACCCATTACCATTATAAGCCAAAACCAAAGATAAGGCCGCGCCAATCACTGTCGCTGCAGGGGAAAGAAAGTGGCAGTCAGAATACAACATAACTTGTTTATGACACGAAAGTATTTTTTTAATCTCTTGGTTGGATACCTGTTGGCAGCGACATCATAAGTGTTTTTCGCCTTTTTTTTTTAGACAAAATGGACTTGTTGGCGTAGCTACGAGCTCAGGCTGGGCTCTCTCTGTTAAATGTAAGATAATGTAGGAGGTGTAAATGACATGGAGATGGTTAGAAATAAGCTTAATCAAAACTGTTAGTCACTGCATGAGGCCACTGTCGCCTGTAAGCAGAGGAAACTTTAAATCTCACGCGTGTCGAAATATTCTTCAATCAACAGATCTTCTGAAGGAGAGTACAAGGAAATTATGGAAGTCATAAGAAAAGTGGTCTCAGAACACAAGTCAAATCTGGTGCCAGGCGTACCTCAGTTAAACATGTGCGATAATGCTGTTATGGTAAGATATTGAAGCGTCGGTATTCATTTATATCTTGTTGCCAAAATAAAGTTCTCCGAAGAAGACGATTTCTCCTTATTATAACAGAGTGTTCGCAAGAGAAAAGTCAGACCCTTGCACTTGAGTTCTCTTCCTTGCATTGGAGAGCTTAAGCAAACCACGACGGCAACGAGAACGCCACCAAACAAAGGTTTAATGAGTAGAACAATGGCTGTGCACGTGCGTTATAAATCTTTGTACATTTCTTTGCCGTCTCCTGCAAAACAACAACATCAAATGACTAAGTTCTACGTATTTTGAAGAACGCGAACGACAGCGGCTAATTTTTCGCATTTTCATTTGGAATTGAACGCCAGCGTTACATATTTAGTCTGAGCAAGTTCTGAGACTAACAGGCGCACTGAACAGATCTAGACAGTTGGGAAATTCGACGGTAAAGTACAAGCTCATTTTTCCCTCGGCGTTGTCGTTTGGGTCGCCGTCGTCATTGCTTAAGCTCTCTATTTTATGACAATTTTTCACGCAACCCACGACCTTCTTATTGAAGAGTAATCTCTCGAGACGTCAGCTATTTATACTACTCCAAGCTCTTAGTTAACTACTAACGGTAAAAGCTTGTTCTTCAGAGGAGTAACTCAGCTGAACGTTTCTTGTTTCTTTCTATTGTGTTTCGTTCTGTAGAATTGGACACCACCCGGATGCGAAGAGATCGACGAATGCTACAAAGGTCCGCCGTCCCATCCCGTGAAATGCTCTTGGCCTCACTAAATGAAAATAGTTTCCCACCCCTGGCGCCATGTATAGCCAGCATGGTCGTGTTGTGACGTCCTTGTGAACATTTTTGTCTTTTATATTCACCCTAGAAGCAAACGTTCTAGCTAGAGAGAAATTAGAGAGAAAATACTTTTGTAAGTAGGGATCAAAGAAAGGGTCCGTAATAAAAAGGAACTTGTTGAGCAAGGCCAGGAGCCGGGTTCCTGGCTATGTTCAAAAACTACTGTCCGTAGTGATGAGGCAGTTCGCCATGAAGATTTAAAAAAAAAAATTTTTATAAGCAGCCCTCGCCTCCCAAATTGAAAAAAGAAAAAATATTAAGTCTTGGCGCATAGAGTAATCTCAATCGAATTTTACAAAGAAGAAGAAAAAATTCAAAAGCTGTAGAGATGTTCAACATGGAAAGCCCAACGATTTGCAATTTTAGACGTTTCTGCGATACCTCTGTCCAAGATATGCAATCCACGGTAGGAAACAAGATGGCGGCTGTACATTTTACGACAATACCTTGCGAACCTAACAGCCTATAAGACTTAAAGAAAGCCGAATTTTTACAGTATGTGACCCTGTACTAAGGACAATGTGTAGCGTAGGTTTGAAGATGTTAGGACTTTCTGTACGTTTTTATGAACGTTGTTAAAGTTTTCGTGCTCTATGAACTATGGGTAAATGTACCAGTCGCCATCCTTTTTCCTGCGGAGGATTATGGCGGGTGTTTTTTAAGGCGTATCATTTATTCTTAAATTTATCGATTTATCCCACTTGTCAACACTTGCACCAGCCACAGGTAATAAATTCGGTTTAACCTCGTTATTTATCGTAGGTTAATGTTACGCTAGAGGTAACTCATGCCGGTCATAAACTTATTTCTAAAACAATAATCTACACTCGTAAGATGCCTTTGGCACGAAGGACCAAGATGGATCGGTTTTGGACACTTTCTTAAATGTAATGAGTGCTTGTCGATATGTAATTTTCCGGAGTAATAAATAGTGAACTGAGAAGCTGTGTTGTGTTGCGCTTTCTTTTGAACGTGCGTCGGGTAGAAGTTCAATGGCAGAGAAAGTAAGGACGCGAGTAGATCCCCAGGAACCTAGCCTTCCTCTGTAGCCTTGCAATTTTACGAGTTTGAGGAACGGGCTACGAGTAATCTTCAGATATCTTATGTATGAAAGGTAGTCATTTTTCTATACATGTAATTTTGACTAGACCTTTCCTCAAATATCTGGATATTTTTTTGGGATATTTACAAGTTTGACTGTTTCCGAGATATTTAAATGATGAACGCGAATCAAGGTTCCACACTAGCCAGTTTAGAGGGTTGTCCAATACTGTCGACTCGATTCCATCAGAAGGGGAGAAAGTCTATTTGAACGATTTGATGTTTGTCAGTCATATAGACTCCAAGTCGATTAGTCCCTAGCTGGTTAGCCCCCAGCTATAAGTTGGTTAGCCCCAGAATAAGACTTGTCTTTTAACGCATGAAATCTCTTTTCTATTTAAAGTTTTGTTCTTATTTTTGCATATGACTTAAGAATACTCAGACCTAATTTCATGTGGAAAGCGTCAAATCCCCATTCCTTGGCCCAACTCCCGCCATGCCCCAACGGATTTACATTGGTCGGTGCATAATGACAAACAAGATAGAACTGCAATATTCAAAGAGCAGCAGTACATATATATGCCTTTTGAAATCATCTAACCGGTGCTCAAAATACTCTTAAAATATAGATGTTATCTTTGTGTGGATTTCCTTGAGCTTGACAAAAAAGCAGAGGAATCGAGTGAAGAAAAAAGCCTCCAGCTCATCCACCTCAGCTGATCGTTGAGACAGTGGGCACAATAGTCATCTATTTTTTTTTTTTTTTAGTGGAACACGTCACATATTTTTCGTTTATTTGTTTTTCATTTTACATGATGGTTTTCTAACTATACGTGAATTTTTTAAGCAACATAAAAGCCAACATTCTCCAGGCCATATTATCGGTGATTTCATTGCTTGAGCTTCCACGCAACATTTTTCGATGATTCATTATTCTGAAAGAAACAAACAGATGAATAGATAGCTTTCACAGTAACGCAATAAAAAATCAAATCGAAAACCATTCAATGGAAGATGTTCGTGGAAATGTTTTGCAGCCCTTTATGGCCTCAAACAGGATATGGTTTTGCAGTCTAGTCTTGAATTGAGTATGCTTTTTAGAAGAAGTACTTTTTCATCATCATCGATAAGACCATCAACAAAAGCCCTTCACTTAAGTCGGTCTGAACTAGAGAACTGAGTATAAAGCACATCTGAAACAAGTTATTGATTGAAGGGTCAGGCCTTTAATAGGGTATCAGTTGCGGATCCAGACCTTGAGCTAAGAGGGGGGCCCGTTTTTGTTTTACTCGCCCTGCCAGCTTTTCTTCCTTCTGTCATTTCTTCTTATTTTACTCAAAATAAGGAGAAGGGGAGGGGGCGGCCCCCCGGGTCCCTCCCCTAGATCCGCCACTGGGTATCGAATTATTGGTCAGGTCATAAATAGTGTAGGGATAATAGCAAATTTGAAAGGTTTTGGGAAGCGGGTTAACTTCACACCCACCCAATTTTTCTGGAAGTACCCCCTGGAATGTATAAGCTCCGTTACACGACATTTTCGTTGTTTTTCCGCAAGTTCGTAATAACTAGGTTTTCGATATAAGGAACCCTCAATATACCGAAACAAATTCCCCAATCCCTTGGTACTTCTTTAAATCGAGGTTCTACCGTACGTGTAAAAGCGGTAAACGGGAGAAGGGATATTCCCGAGAGGGGTCTTGAAAGGGTTGAAAACGCTGTGGACTAAAATTAAGCTCATGTACGAGCAACATAACGCTACAAAAACGAATCGAAATAAATTACCAAATTAAAATTCTCCTTCATCGTCGCTCGATTCGATCTTCGAAGGAATATTTTGGTTTGCTGTCCAACTTTTTTCTGGCCCTGAGAAGTTCATCTGTGGGCGAAAGATGAATTAGATTTAGCATTCACTCTCACAAGAAAGGACGATAATCATAAGGGGTATATTCATACTTAAGGTAAAGCCACGTCCACAATATACCGTAGAAATTTAAAAACTGCGTTTTCACTCGAATGTTTTTCGACCACACTACAGTACGTCGGAGAAATTTGAAAACCCAACAATCAGTGTTCATTTTGGATTTGTATTCAAGGAAGACTCAGGTAAGGAGAAGGAAATAAATCCCGACAAATTACAGAAAATAATCATCAGGGATATACGTACAAGAAATACTTACACATTTTGACGTAAGATGAAAATGGCGTCGTCCCCGACGTCGAGTGCGTACACAAGGTCCTAAAAAAAAATCACCGATAATTTTTTTTAAAGCAAGTTAACAAAGGCGTATGCAAAAGTACATAAACACCGTTACAAAACAATTATTAACTATACCTCGCTACAATTACATTTTGGTTGTTTTCCCGCAAATTTGTTATAGCAAAGATATCAGTGACGACACCTATTGTTATTAATACGCCAAACAGAGAACTATTGGCTGGTGAAACAAAGAATTCTTTTGTTTAACGATTTGAACATTTAAGTAACAAAAACAATGTTTGTAAATAAATATATTCGCTATTTTCGAATCGAAACAAATTACCCCAGTCTTTTTCTTCGTCGCTCGATTCTGTAGAGGAATAGTTCGCTTTGCTGTCCATTTTTTTCTTGGTACTAAGTTTATCTGTGGATGTAGGATGGATTCAATTTAGCATTCAGTGTCACAAGAAAAGACGCCTAGCCTCAACAAGTGAGAGAAAATAATCACAAGGGATAGTCTTCATATAAATAAGGCCGCGTCCACACTAAGCCGGAGAAATCTGAAAACGGCTTTTCACTCTGAAAACGCATCAATTGTTGTCCGTCCACACTACCCCGGAGAAATATAAAAAAAGTAACAATCACCGCTCATTTTGGATTTGTATTCGCGGAGGACTCGAGCAGGGAAATCACATGATTATCGTGGCATCATCATTTTCCAAAAGATTCGTTTAGAAAATAAAATGTTTCCGTTCGCAATATTAAAAACGCAAAGCCGACGTTTTCAAATTCCTCCGGTTTGAAGAGCGGTTTTCAAAAAGCTCCGTTTCGGTGATGGATTAGTGTGGACGGTGGGCCTAATTGTAGAAATAAAGCTGGGTTCCCAAATTGCTCCGCTCTAGTGTGGACGGGGCCTAATGCTCACACATTTTGCTGTGCAATAGAAATTACCCCGCCTCAGACCACGAGGGCTTACATAAAGTCCTAAGAACAAAAAAACCAACCAATGAGTTTCACTAAAGCACGTGAACAAAGACTGCCGTCTCGCCCAACCTTGTTCTCAGGGTCTTCTCGTCTTTT